ATATATATATATATATATAATTTTGAGACAGGGTCTCATGTATCCCAGGGTGGTCTCAAACTTGACATTTAGGTGAGAATGTCCTTGAACCTCTGATCCTCCTGTCCCTACCTCCAGATTATTGCTATGCACTACCAAACCCTATTTTGTGAGGTGCTCAGGATAGAATCCAGGGCTTCAGAAGTGTTGGGCTAGCACTCTACCAACTGGGCTATATAGCCCCTGCTGGCTGTATTTAAAACAGAAGAAGCTGGGAGTCCGACAATGAGAATCTTGTTTCCTCTGGTGACATTTGAACCCACTTCAGAAGGACCTCTGTGAGCTGTGGTGACTGGATAGGTTTGGTCCTGGTAATCTGTCCACGATAGGACGCTGCTAAAGATATTATTGGCATAGCAAAAGAAAACATTGGGGAGAGTTCATTTCAGGTGCTGATTTTTTAAAAAAAAAAACAACAAAATCTTCATTAAATGTGGAAAAAGGGAAAACAAAAGGTGACATTGATCATCATATGCCCACACTAGGGAAGAGATAGAAAGTGGCGAAAGTTTTAAGATGACCTACCTGAGCTCGGCTTAATTCTGCTTGTTGGGGAGAGGCACTTGGAGGACCAATTTTCTATGCTAAAATAAGCAGGCGGTTATTTCCCCTGGACCACTGAGTGCGGACTCTCTGAGTTACATAACTCTGACTGTCATGTAATAAAAATTAATCTCTCCCTGCCCTCAGGGAGGCCATCAGCCGTGTCTGCGAAGCTGTACCAGGTGCCAAAGGAGCCTTCAAGAAGAGAAAGGTACCAGCCACCCTCACTGTGTGTCTGTGACCTCCTTCATGTCTCTCAGGACCGTACTCCGTGTCCCCACCCACATAACTGTCCACTGTGTTCTTACATGACTGGATCTTGTCATTCCTTAAGGTAAAGCAAGCAGCTAAGGCTAAGGCACTGTCTCTCTCTGTGTCTCTGTCAAGCAGATGTTGTAGATATCCACTGTGGCTTAAACCCTGGAGGCACTGATAACAATTAACATCTGGCTAAGCATCCCTTGAAGCACATTACATACATGAATTCATGTACCCCTAACAGCTCACGTGTCAGCCACCCCAGTGGTATACGCTAGCAAATGCTTAACAACTGGATCCTGGAGTTTCGAGAGGGAAGCAGGACAGTGAATTTGTAATGATGCTAATTACTATGGTGTAAATACTTCCGTGCGGCTGACCCGAGCTATCAATACAAGGTCCCTTATCACTGCATTGTATTTTCCCGAGACAGGCAGATGAGACCCGAAGAGCACAGGTTTACATAGGATGAAACCAGGTAGCAATTGCTTACCATCTTTGCATACCACTTATGTAGCTGTGACTTTGTATAAACTAACTTTCAGTGATAGCTGTACTTAGTGGTCAGCTCATAGCATTTCTAACGACGTGACCACTTGTGGCTTTCCTGAGCTGGCTCAGTTATGTCATTGGAAAGTCCCATGTTGTAGGTGACAAAACTTGAGGCTCTGGGCTGAGAAGCCACAATGTAAATAGGAGCTGGGTTCATGGTCACACCAGACCACCTGCTCCAGAGGCTGAATGTTCAGCTATATTTCTAGAACATTCCATCGTGTATATGGCTGGATTAGGAGGGGGAAATGTCTGGGGGCTGGGGAGATAGCTCAGCTGGTAAAGTTCTTGTTGCATAGCATGAGTTTGGATCTCCAGTATCCATGTACAATGCCTGACATGGTAGCACATGCCTGCAATACCTGTGTTGGAGAAACAGACAGGCTGATCCTGGGGGCTCACTGGCCAGCCAGGGTTGCAGAAGTCATGTAATCCAGGTTCCATGACTGCTTCAGGAGAGAGCCTCCTGACCCGCTGAGGGCATTCCTAAGCCTGGAAGTCATTGCCTTCACCTCCCCTAAAAGGCAGTCTGGTACCTTGTCTCCAAGTACAAGGTAGAGAGAGAGTTCTAGAGGAAGACACTTAGCTGCTGACACTATGTGATGGCCAGTCCTTGGGAACCAAGTAAAGCCCTAGAATCTGGAATACAGAAAGCAAGGTGTCTCCTGGGAACAGCAAGGAGGACCACCATCTCTCAGAGGAAATGGTCCTGACAGGTCTGTGGTTCCCACGCATCTCTCTTGGTGGGAAGAAACAGAGGTGATGGCTGCTTTCCGGGCTATATCCCAGTCGTACTTGACCTGACTCTTGCTCAGGGGAGATGAGTTCTCTAAAAGGCTCTTTTGAAGTGTTAAGTAAAAAGAAGAAAATAAATTGGCAGGGATACTAAAGGAAATAGCATCTCTCTGGGAGCAAAGAGCTGAGGTTTGGGTCAGCCAAACCAGGCCAGCCCGGAGGTAAGGTCAGTGGGGTGTATTCTTTTGAAGTAGAGGCTTTCCATTAAACTTTGTCTTTCGAGTCAGGTCATTGGCTGGGCAGGCACTCTAAACTGTGAATCCATTCTGATTGGTTCGTTAACTAGGCTATACCCCACTGAGTGGTTGGTATACCAGGCCAGCCGGTCTGCATTTGTCCTCTGATCTGAGTCACAGGAACATCCTGTGGTCTGAGCTTCTGCAGAGGGGCGTGACCTTCCGTTTCCCAGCTCCACTTTACACAGATGTAGTGGCTGCACTGTCTTTCCTAGTGGACTGAAGAACTGTGTGTCTGATTGGGAACTCTTTGGCATAGTGAGCAGAGGACATTGTAACCAAACGGAAAGCGTGGGTTGGTCCTGGAGGACACAGGAGAGGGTGTCAGCATGTGCCCAGGGATCCAGGAGAAGGTGCTTGGCTGGACACTGAAGCTCTCTGACACACCTATAAGGACTTTCTGACATGTAACGGAGACACCAGTCACAGCCAGCCTGTCTCTCCACCCTGCCCTGGCTCTGGACAGCCAGATTCTAATCGGACTGTCCAGGTAAGCCCTTAACAGAGAGCCACTTCTGGGGAGGATTTCCTTCAAGAGAGAGCCTCCTGACTCTCCGAGGGCGTTCCTAAGCCTGGGATTCATTGCTCTCACCTCCCCTAAAAGGCAGTTGTCTGAGTCTTGGTGTCCTTGAGACCAGATTCTGGTGTCTGCAGAGCTGTGGTGTCCCTGCCTGTGAGGTTTCTAAGGGATCCTTGAGACAGCAACCATCGTATGGTCAAGGCAGCCAGGAAGACAACGAGTTCTCCCCCTAGAATTTACATATTAGACCCTTTACAGTTTTATCACTCATATTCCTGAATGTGCATATTGGCATGGGTATCAATTTTCCCAGCTTCTCCACTTTACATTTGCCTGTCTTCTGGTGCCTTAGTGGGGAAGAGAAGGCAGTGAGAGTCTGGGTTGGGGGTATACTGACATCTCAGCCTCATGCTTTCAGACGCAGAGTCTGGGTCAAAAGCTAAACTATTTCCCTTGGATTTCACAGCCTCCGAGTAAAACGTTGTCCAGCATCCTGGGGAAGAGCAACCTCCAGTTCGCGGGGATGAGCATCTCCCTGACCATCTCCACCGCCAGCCTGAACCTGCGCACTCCTGACTCCAAACAGGTGTGTGGGAGCCCAGGCTCCACGAGCCCCAGGGTAGACATCCCAGGGGCCCCCAGCTCAGAGCTCACTGAGCCCATGCAGAACGTGCTTGGCCAAACCTTGAACTTGACCCAATTTGACAGTCTGTCCCACAGATGGATAAATGGTTCTCTGGAATTCTGCTCTAAATGGTGGCTGTTTTGTTGGTGTGCTTGTAACCAAGAGGCGGTGATGTCTGTGCAAACGTCCTGGCGTCTGCCCTTGTTTTATTGCCACGCTTTATTGGTTTTATGGACCACGTTTTAATCTTATCCTGCTTGAGGTAGACAGCGTGCTGTGGTTTAACAGGCAGCAGTTTTCTTCCTTTTAGCATCTTATGTTGGAGCCTCTTATAGTCCCTCCTGTCTTAGGGTTGATGGGCTGGCATACCTACAGCCTAGTCAGGTGGAGACTCAGGCTGCACAACCATACTTATAAAGGGAAATTCCAGCTAGAATGGCTGCATTTCTGTGTGATGACTATGTTTTAGGTCAGTCTGTCATCTATCTATCTATCTATCTATCTATCTATCTATCTATCTATCTATCTATCTATGTATCTGTCTATCTCCATTTATCCCCAAGGTGTAGAGACAGACTAGATCTAATGTAGACATGAAAACCGAATCAGGGCTCTGTTGAGACATAACTGACCACAACTTCTCATTCTACCTTTTATCTTCCAGGGGTCCACAGATGCCCCTTTTCTAGCAGTTTTCTAAGGGTTGGACTAACCAGCTCTTGAGGCTATGGATGGGAGATGCCTAGTCAGCCTAGCCTTGCCCAGGCTGTCTTAATTTGAGTCCCAGCTGCTCATGGAGGCTGGCCCACTAGGCTCTAGATAGCCATGCAAACTGGCCTCTGTGGCACAAGGGCCATCATTTCCAGGGGCCCTTAGGCTATACCTCTCCACCCTTCTTGCTCATTCTCCACTTAATGAAAGAGAAAGCCCCGTAAGCATAATGCTGGGACAGCCTGTCCTGAGGCCCTGTTCTGCCTAGGATCGTCCAGGTAGGGTCTACTTAGGTGTCTTAAGTCTTACCCCTGCCATGTGTTGGGTGGGTCTAAGTGCAGTTTTCCCAGCATCCAAGGGGTGTGAGCTAGGTGATACAGGAACAGTCCATGACACAGATAGAGCATATGGCTGTGCCTTTCCTGTGTCCTGAGTTTAGGTCCCCAGTGCAGCAAATAGAGAAAGTAAGGGCCCTCGCCCCTTCACCCAGGAAGCAGACCAACTGCAGTCACTCCAGAGTGCTGAGGTCTGAGCAGAGGGCTGGGACAAATCTCTTAGAGGAGAAGCAAATGCTTATTCCTCTTTTTCCTTCTTGAGTACTTGGAGGGGTGAGAGGCAAGCAAGACAGTGAGTGCACATACAGTTGACTATGTGTGTGACTTATGTGTGTCTGTATGTGTG